GTCTCTAACTAATTTGAAAGGTAGAATGAAACCTGAAAGCCCACTGCAGTTGCCCATTGGCACAAGCCCTTACTCTCACTTGTTAGGTAAGGGTTGGATATCTTTTCAGCAAGCAACTAGTCAATAGAGAAACCTGACAAAACTTTATAATCCTTTCTCACATTCTTAAAAGAAAATTGATTGGAGTTTTTTAATGCTACATTGACTTCTGTGCCAAATAATACCTTGTAAGATCTTTGTTATAGGATTAAATGTGCTTGCAAGAGTTTACGTAATAGACTCTCACTACATTAAAATAAATATCACTTTCCTGTCTAGTGATTCATTAAAGCTATTGGAAATGGAACCCAAGCATCTCCCACTCAAAATAAATTCAAAGCAAGATCTACGTTTTTCTATTATTGTCATGGCGATTGCAGAACAGAGATCACCAGGGAAACACCTGCGATTGCTGTGGAGCTGTCTCTGTCTAATCAGGTGTATTTCTGTTATTTATTTATTTTTTTAATTCTAGTGTATAAAAGACAAAAAACAAATGTGAACAAGCTATAACATTTGTATCATGAAACCCCGCAGCATTTCAGACACCACAGAAATCGTTATATTTAGTCTTGTGCAGAATTGTGCTATATTTATACACAATCTATATTTATGTTTAAGGCACCAGTGGTGCCATTATCTAAGTGAAACGTTGCTGATGTAGCCCTTGTATACTACAGACACCTTACGTAGTTCTTGGTCATATGGCATGTTGACATAAATAAACAGATTTTCAAAGTAGCTTGGATCATGTTATTATTAGTTAACAATGAAGACTCTAATAATCCTAACATGTATGTCCACAAGGTTTATAAGCCAGTTATAAACCTAGAATACTACTGTAAATGCCTAATGTGACCTGAACACTGAACTCATAATAAAGCAGTTTCCATATAATCTGGGCCATTGCTTTCAGTTCACAGTCTGAGATCTGCTCTTGCAGTCTGCAGAACATTAGAACATCCTACCAATGGTACAAGATGCCCTGCTGAAAAATGATTGTGCAGTATAGTTTCTGGGTAGTCCCTACTCACTATAGATATACCTGTTGCTTTTCAGCACTATACATTACACTGAACCAGGGGTGGACTGACAATTCATGGGGCCCCCGGGAAATAGGGGATCATGGGGCCCCTGTGTCCTCGCCCACACTCAAACCACACCCCAAAAAGGTACCAGGGGCATCTCATGGGGCCCCCTACTGACCTCGGGGCCCTCGGGTAGTGCCCAAGTGCTCGAATGATCAGTCCGCCCCTGCACTGAACTGAAGGCAAATGGCAAAATCCGGAAATAGAATACACACTATACTGTATATGGAATATGCTTTACCGAGCAGAGGATTTTAATTTAGTCTACCCATTCCTGAATTCCTACAAAACCATGCCATACAACACAGCCCAGTCTGGAAGGACAGGAGACCTATTTCTTTTTCTCAGCTGACATTAAGTAAGACTGGCTTTCCCCCAGCCAGCCACTCTACAGTGACAGGAGAAGCAGCAGACTGATGAGCTTATTTCCCTGTCACTCTGCTCTCTCTCCTTGTCAGCATGTTCCTTGGTAGTTCATGAGCACTGCAGCACAACTGTCTCTTTGTGCTGTATTTCCCCATCTTCTGTTTAGGGGATGACAAAAGTCTGATTCCAAGTTAAATTCAGGTACTTACACTACTTGTAGTAAAAAATACATTTATTGTTGTATTATTGATTGCAGAACGGCATTAGTATTTGTCTTTTGTATCTCCCTGGAGTTCAGATTTAAAATGAAATTTGTTATGAAAAAAAGCTGGCGCTTCCGAAATTGATAGTTGGCTGACTGTCATGTTAAACCACTTGCATTAGTACATTGAGCTTTCAAACATGAAGATAAGGCATTCTGGCTTTACGCTGGCATTCCTGGCCTGTCTACCTTTTCTAAATCAATGTCTCATAGTATTAAGGCTAGGGAAAGGCCACCATGAGAACCAGTAACTAGCATTTTTCAGAAGGACAGTATCCATTGCAGCCCTCCTTATTTTTCTCATGGCAGGTTTACTTCATTGGAGTATTTTCTGGTGCACTACCATGGACTTCAGTTAAAGTATACAAGAAGCAGATTGCCAGAAAGTTTTTACATTATAACTTACACTAATAGGCATGCATATAGGTTGAAAGGTTCTCATTAAAAGTGGACCTAAAACTTGCATCCTCCTCCAACATTCCAACCTTCTTGCTCTGCATCTGTAATAAATTCTTTGAAAAAAATATATAATATCTAAGTATGTTTCAGAAAATATTACCTAGGCATTTGATTATGCAAACTCATCTGAAGGGAATAATTTGAGTTCAGGCATGACCAAATGCCTAGGCTAATGGTCACATGACAGGCTGATTGACCTTATGGCTTTTTCTGCCACAGAGGTAAAGGCTTTTTAAAACTATTTTTCTTTTAATTAATATTGTTTAGACAGTAGGTCAGTCCAGATTGTGGGGTTGAGTTCTATTACAGAATATTTAAGGGAAAATGTCACCAGCACACCGAGGATCACCAATATGGGTCCAAAAGTTTTAATGAACGATCACATAGTTACCAGCAAGGCAACGTTTCAGAGTCTTGCAGGACCCCTTCTTCAGACATGTGACCATGTCACATGCCTGGTGAAGGGGTTCTGCGAGACTCCCGTTAGGATTGTACACTTACTATTACAGAACACATCTCTATTTTTAAATGCTCTTCTGTGCAGACTGATGATTTGTCTTTCCATGCACATATTATCAACCCTATTTAAAAAGATAGTGAAAAGTGTAGTAGCTTATAAAGAATATCAATTTACTGTAAGTATAAGTAAGTAAGGTAAGGATAAAATCTAATTGGTTATTGTACAGTATGGCATTATGCAAATGGACCTGTTATATATTTATGCTAAAATTTTAAAAATGTTAGTGCATATTGCCTAGATCCAGGACAGCAACAATATTATTTACTAAGATCAGTTATACAGTGGCTTAGTAAAATATTTTTTTTTTTAAAATGGATCATCTTTAGTAGTAGTAAAGCCCAGTATAACTGAAATAAGAAGTCTACTATTGCTACATCCAACTGGATGTGAGCTAGGCATATGCAGTTCCAGTTACTCATACACATATGACTCCTTTTCCCAGAAGTGTTCATCAAAAGCTCTTCTCAAGCACAGAAATAATGCATTGAGGATCGTGATTCCCTGCTGTGAGGCAGCTGCAGCTTGAACTGTATTCAGCCTTGTAGACCAAGGAGTTCATACAGTACTTGTTCCCATAGTAGTTCCTTATTTGGCAGCACTGCCCATCCAGATGCACACAGAAGACTTAGTAAACCTTTAATCTTCAAAAGAAACATATTTAGATCATAATTGTCAGACTTACTGTCAGAATTATTATGCATTTTTTAAATTTTGATTGGGAAAGGGATAGCAATGAGTAGAAATGTTAATATTACTTCCTATAAGTTTCCTATAAAACCTGGTGGCTGTTTGCAGGTCTGCAGGCTCAACACAGTTCCTCCTTCCAAATAACATCACAGTAAAAAATGGTTCACTTAAAACTCTATTAAACCCAAAAACAAAAAAAAGTTTATGGTTTAGCTGACCAATCCTTAAATGTGGTGGATGCATTAGCTTTCTTTATTGAGCTTTATTCCCTTCATTTTCACCTGGTGATCTGGCCAGTAACACACCTTCTGTCTTAGGGTGCTTCAACTCTGGATGAGGAGTACAGAGAAACAGCAGCATTGTCAATCTGTCTAGAGTGTAGTGTTAGATGCACTAGCAGATTTAGATGGATTTGACTAAAGAATTAAGGCTGCACTCCAGTTAATATTTTTAAAGAGTTACTGCAGCACTTTTTTCCTTTTGAGATAAAGTTTTTACATAAATTAATAAAAGCTGACCATTGTAAGTAACCTTGTCAGTGTTAAATGGTTTGTCTAACTGCTTCTTTTTGGGGGCAGTTGGTCTGTTAAAGGAAGTTGAAAAGTAACAGACTTACTAACTGGATCATCAGGTGAAAATTTAAAAAAAGCCTGAAAAAAACATGCAGCTACCACATCGGAGAATTAGTAAGCTGCAATATAAAAAAATATACTTTTTTTTCTTTTTCTTTTTTTTTTTTTTTGGGGGGGGGGGGGGGGTGTTATACAACTTTAACAGGAGTGTATTTCTTGTTACTAGAAAATAGAAACATATATGCATTCTTTGACAGCAGGTCATCTTTCCAATGATCCAATATGTAGTCAGTTATGCACAGTTTATAGTGTACTGTACATTTTGTCTTATACAAACTGTTTTTCATTGGACAAGCAGTAAATTTGATCATACCCTCCAAAACAAATGCAGCAAGCGAAGATGTAATGAGGACTATTCATGTGCAAGTGTAGACCTAAACATAATCTACTCAAACTAAGATCAAAGGGTACCCTGCCTTCAAAACAAATATGCCTGCAATGAACTGTGAGTTGGTTTACTACAGTGAAGTATGTGATATAAAAAATCTCTGTGTAGCTGGAAAGTGTTTAGATAAGATTACTTAACAGAATAAAGTAATTGTGTTGTCTGGATTGGGTCATAATTAGCATTTGATATCTCATTTTGATATGAACCTTAAAAAGTGGTCAAATAAAGACTGTTTGCTAACAAGGTGTTTCCTTGTGAGATACTGTGGTTAAACGTAAGCTGCAATGCTAGTCTCCTCATATTCCATCTAGAAAAATAATTCTTAACTTTGGTTTTATTGATGAATACCAAAGAGTATTGACCCTTTTCTCTGTGTGCAGGGCCAGATTAAGACCCTGGCGGCCAGGGGCACTTCAGGTTCGAAGGGGGGGGGCTCATACAAAGAGTTGATTTCTCAATTACAGTCACATTTTCAAAATGCATGACATAAGTTCATCTAGAGGATGTAGGATGGGGTAGCACGGGTCAAGACCAGGCGGTTGGTTAGGGTGCTGCCTACTGCTTGGCATTTGCAATAATTGGACTTAGGCATTATCACTCTTGTGACCAGGGGCGGACTGACAACTTATGGGCCCCCGGGCAATAGGGGATCATGGGGCCCCTGTGTCCTTTCCCAAACTCAAAAAAAACTATGAAAAAGGTACTGGGGGCATCTCATGGGGCCCCCTACTGACCCCGAGCCCTCGGGCAGTGCCCGAGTTTCTAAATGGTCAGTCCGCCCCGCCATGGTGCCCGCAGTTCTTCTAAATGGTCAGTCCCCCCTCGGGCAGTTGTGACCAACCAGTCCGCTTGGTTTCTAAATGGTATAACATAAACTTGGAGGTATAACATAAATTTTATCCTTTGCGATAAGGTGCCTTAAACATGTTTGTGTTGATGAAAGATCTATCTATATGTTACCTACTGAAGAGAGTCTTAATGGCATGTCTGTGTCTCACTCATGAAGAGTTTAACCGCTTCCCATCTGCCCTATAGCAGAAGTACTGCTTCAGAGTGGCACGGGTGCGCAAAATCCCGTATATATATGTGATTTTGCACTACCGGGTAGGGGGCGCGTGCCCTACCCTCACCGCCATTTGTGGCCTCAGCTGTCAATCACCAGGTCCCGGTGTATTGGTGTCACTGGGAATGTTAGTGACACCAAGTCAGTTCCCCCCAGTTTCAGAATTTCCGCTGCAGTCCCACTATAAGTCGCTGATCACCGCCATTACTAGTAAAAAGTAAAAATCCCAGTATATATACCACCATTTGTAAATGCTATAACCTTCACGTAAACCAGTTAATTTACACGTATTGGGATTTTTTTTTAGCAAAGGCATGTAGCAGAATACATTTTGGCCTAAATTTATGAGGAAATTAGATTTTTAAAATTTTTTTACTGGATATTTTTAATAACAAAAAGTAAAAAATATTGTTTTTTTCTCAAAATTGTCAGATTTTTTTTTATAGCACAAAAAATTAAAACCGCTCTATTTGTGGGAAAAAAGGACGTAAATTTAAATGTCAGTTAAAGTAACGCAGCGCTGTAATGCAAAAAAATGGTCTGGTCAGGAAGGGGGATAAATCCTCTGGAGGAGCCTGTATCTTTTGTCAGCATGGCCCTGCCCTGCTTGTTCTGCTACTTGTGTTTGGCATTTTGCGCCTTAGTTCATCTGCTTCTCTCCCCCATATTTTGGTCTTGAGTGTGCCTGTCTCCATCCCTGGGTTTTAGTAGTCTGCACCTGTATCACAGCTCCTGATGGACTAAATGTAATCCAGGAAATGTGTTGAGCTCTAGTGTGAAAAGATGCTTGGAATTCATAGAACATTATATTGTCTCTTTGTTTAATTCTAAGTATGAATAAATAGGGGGTAGCAGACTACAGTTTTATGTAACAAGATATTTTTTATGATTAATGTTGTTGATGTCATTGTATTTTAACAGGGTGTACAATAAAAATATGATTCTTTTGAATGTCTGAAGTGGAGCCCTAAAAACCTGCCATGGTTGTGATTTCTTTATGAATTAAATTATAAATTATTGTTACTTTACAGTTTTGTTGTACAATCTACCATACTGCCTCTGCATTTGTGCAATTCTAAGCATTTTTGCAGTATGTTTTGTTAGTATTTAGTTATTTATATGGCTTGCTATATACAGATGGTCTAGCTTTACAGAAATACATCAAAATTCATACAACAAAATAAGTGTTGGGGTTAGAGTAGCTTGGATCATAGCTTAAAAAATGACATATTATCATCATGCTCTTTCTGCACAGATTCCACAAATGATGTTTTATTTAGATATTGCTGGTTGAATTCACATTATTTAAAAAAAATAAGGGGTGTCTTACCTAAAATGTGAGAGTTGCCTTAACTTATTTGTTTGCCTTTTTTTGTAGATACAGAATAAAAATGTGTGTGCTGTGCACAAGTAATAACTTTTAATGAGATATTACTACTAGATGAACTTACATTGATAGGCCAAAACTTGGACCGGATGGTTCCTGTTAATCTTGCCTGCATGCATTGAGAGGTTGTCCGCACAATTTTCATTGTGTCTCCAATTCTGTTCTCCCAGTGCAGCACAACGCCTTGCAAAACAAGCTACATAATACTCCGTAGATATCTGAGAACCCTACACAGGCACTACCTGGTGTATAGTGTTAGTATCATTTTGGAAGTACAAAAGAGTATAGGTCTTGAGACCAGTTCAGTTTTAGTGGGAAATGCAGTATATGTAGGTGACCATATATGTGTGGATAAACTACTGAAAACCATTTTGTACATTACCATTTGTACACCATACAATTTAAAGGCTTTCTGTAGATTTCTGAAGCCTGATAAGCACCATCCTTATGCTAAATCCAGAATTGGGCATCACAGGCTGTGCCAAACTAAACTATAAATATTGTAATATTTCTTTTTAAAAACTTGTACATTGCTTTTTTTTAGTAACTAGGGCAATGCACCTATCCCAGTGACAGCCACCTGCAAGTTATGCATTTTCTTGATATTTTTGCTAAGTTTAACAAGAAAGCTTTCAGGATAGGGAAAAATTGTGACTGACTTTAAAATACTTAGCACCATTTCTGAAAAAAAAGCATAATGAGAATTCAGGATTAATGATACCAAAGTTATCAGTCAAATAAAGATAGTTAAAAATGGTATTTATTTATTTATTATTGCTTATATATGGTAAAACATAGTTCTTTGTACGCAGATATCCATCACCAATGTAGTCACATACACCTCCCTTGTTTCTCACCCCACCCCTTAAGTGTGTTGTGGAGTAACCAGGAACAGACCCACACGAAGAGCGTTATTTGGTTTTTAACTGTTGGTTAGATGTACTCGATTGTGTAGAGTAAGTTGAATACCTAATTTTGATACTTTCATACTGTGCATACAATGTGTGATTATCTGATAAATTTGTAATGGCATAATAATGTTGTTTTAGATGAACACCTCTGAGCATTTCCTGCCAAAGTGGATGCCAGTCAAGAAAGACATAGAGAAATTAAGCTTCCTCCACTAATTATGGATATATTGTTTGTGAATATTGTACATAATAAGTGTCAGTTATTGCTGGAGTGAGCAATAAGGGAGGTATATGTGACCACATAAGTGGTGGATATCTGTGCACAAAATACCACATTTTACCTATTTTAAGCAATTATCAATAAGTACCATTTTGACAATATCTTTAGCTGACTGATGACATTGACATCAATATAGTTCAGTTTTCTGACTTTTTTTCCTAAATAAACTTCTGGGATGTTGGTTTGGCTAAACTACATATACAATTTCCACTTTATTAGTTTTAGTTTTCTTTGATAATACCAGGTCTGCCCAAATGCAATGAGCTACTTAGAGGCAAACTCCAGTAAGCACCATTTACATGTTAAAAGCCCCAACACAGTTTCAGAAAAAACAATGCATGCATAGAAGCATTAAAATAATTAGGAGTTATTGGTAGCCAGTCATCCTCATCTCATAACTGTTACTTGTGGGGGTAGACATGGGGTATTATTATTATTGGTGCTTATATAGAACTGACAATTTTATACAGAGCTTTACATATACTGTATATATATTGTACATTCACATCAGTACATGCCCTCAAGAGACTCTCTTGAGTTTGTTATTCTTACAGCAAAGGTTACACTAATCAATGCTCTTACTGATATGAAAATTTCGACTTTTTGCCAAGAGTCAGTAGCTACATCTGCATTTTTATTGCTAATCACTCCCTCTGACAATGTATGCAAAAAAGGTGATCTATTACTGTCATAGGAAAGCAGTGGTGTCTTTGATATGCAGGCTGCCCTTAATGGGGAATTACCTGGGTTTGTGGGACAGAGCTGAGCAGAGTTTTTGTTCACTGATTATACGCTAAAGAACTGTTTATAAGCTGTGAAGTGATATTTGACAGAGGTTTTTGTGAAAAAGTATTGCTTTAAGAGACAGAACTGCTAATAGGTTATATTCAAATGATAAGGTATACAAAAGACATAAAGCTGCCTAAAATATGCTGCCAAAATAAAAATATATGCATACCTTGCACTCCTAGTAGTGTCAGCTACTCCAAGAGGAATTGTGATTCCAATACACAAATATTTACAGTCTGCATCCGAATAAAGCACATCGTTCAAAAAGTTCTGCCATATGAAATTATTGGGATTTGAGAGTGTCTGTTTAGTTTGGAGTCTTCTTGTTAATGTTAACTATAAAGGCAAAGGCAATAGGTGAATAAAACATAAATTAAAAATGTATACTTTTTTGTATACATTTTATATTGCACAAATACACATTAAATAAAAGTTACCTCTATGTTATAGCATGTGAAGACTGCACTAGGCTTTCCTAGTAAGAAGCTTGGCAGCTGCCGCTTGTACAGTTTGAAGAGAGATAGAGGGGACCAAGGGCGGACTGAAAACTCATGGGGCCCCGGGCAATAGGGGATCATGGGGCCCCTGTGTCCTTGCCCAAACTCAAAAAAGCCTATGAAAAAGGTACCAGGGGCATCTCATGGGGCCTCCTACTGACCCCAGGCCATCGGGCAGTGCCCGAATTTCCAAATGGTCAGTCCACCCCTGGAGGGGACATGTCCTTTGTTAATAGTACCGTATTTTCCGGCGTATAGGGCGACTGGGTGTATAAGACGACCCCCTACTTTTCCTGTTAAAATATAGGTTTTGGGCTATATTCGCCGTATAAGACTACCCCCTTCCGAGGCAACACCATTTAAAAACATCATATTTTTTAATTGAAATGGTTATGACTTACCGGTACTTAAAATCCTTCAAAATCCTCATGTTCATCCTCTGACATCATAAGTTCATGAATGACATCTTGTGATACATTTGTAAGACAGTCATCATATGGATCAAATTCCAAATCAGATGGTTACTGCTGGATGTGCGGTGATACGGTAGCTTCGGCTACATACAGCATACAGTATATATACAGCCAGCTGGATGTTCAGTAAAGTACATACAGTATACCGCGCTGAGCCAAGCTGACCCAAAACAAATATCCCTATGACAGATTAATCTGTCAGCCCGCTGGATGTGTGGTATATACAGTATACTGAGCCAAGCTGTTTCAAAACGTACCGGTACGTCCCTACGGTAATCAGACCGCTGGATGTGTGTATGTACAGTAGCTGAGGCTACATACAGTATACGCTGGGCCAATCACCACGAGCGATGTATTCTACTAATGAATACAAAGCCTGCTTGGATTGGCTGAGGTTGTGACATCATCAGCCCAACTCTCTGACTCAGCCAATCCGAGCAGGCTTTGTATTCATTAGTAGAATACATCACTCGCCGTGATTGGCCCTGTGTATACTGTATGTAGCCACAGCTACCGTACATACACGCATCCAGCGGGCTGATTACAGTAGGGACGTACCAGTATGTTTTGAAACCGCTTGGCTCAGCGCAGTATACTGTATATACCGCACATCCAGCGGGCTGACAGATTAATCTGTCATAGGGACATTTGTTTTGAGCCAGCTTGGCTCAGCACGGTATACTGTATGTACAGTATTACCACACATCCAGCCAGCTTGACCCAAAAAACTCAAGGTTCACATTTTATACCCCATGTATAAGACGACCCCCAATTTTTGGGGTATATTTTTAAGTATAAAAAGTAGTCTTATACGCCAGAAAATACTGTAGATTCAGATACAGCCTATTTATTGCTAAATAGTAAAATGTTTGTGTAGAGCTGACTCAATTTTACTCAATTGTACCACCTTCTGACTGCAGATGGTAAACATGAAATATCCACATGCAGTATTTCCCATCTAGCAAAAAATATGTATAATGCTGTCTAAGTGTTTATTTTTCAGAACCTAATAAATATATAAACATGTACAAAAACACTATAAATTTTTGTTAAAGCTTGTTCATTATATATACAGTATTTTTCTTGTTTTGATTGTCAAGAGTCATTTAATATCATATGTATATTGTCTACATCTTGCACAAGGGTGATTTATGCTGTGATGCTAACAAAGGTACATAATGTAATACAGATTGAACATCGCTTGACCCACAACTTGCAACATCTCATGAATTAGTAATGTGGAAAACACTACAGAAGAAACCCTGGAATAGTTCAATATCTGTGTGTGAAATTCATTAAATAGTAAATGCTGCAATTGCCCTTTTAACTGCCTTTCAAGTCAATGGCACATAATGTGTAATCTTAGTGTAATCGCAGCAATCACACTTTAATGAATCTTTCCCTTCTGAGCATATAAATACTTTCCTAGTATCTTGCATTGCTTTTAAACCGAAATAAAAATCAGAAGGCATGGGGCCTGTTAACCAATACATCACCCATTAGAAGAAAACCTCTTGAAAGATATTGATTACTGTATGTTTGATTTGTTTAGCTTGATATCTTTTCTGACTAGTCCATATTAGGTCGTTAATACTAAAATTACTGCACTTCTATAGAACCTTCAAAACACATGTAAATACCTTCCAACTTTCTCAGATGAAAAAGAGGAACACCATTTAGTACCATGCATGTAGACAAAGGGCATACCCCTGCAACACCACCAGTTCCACGGGCCACAAAGAATGAATACACAAAAAAAAGGTTGTTTAAAACCACAAATGCCTTTTTTACTGCTACTTTTTCTTTATACTTGCTTTTCACAATGACAAAAGTGATACTTTTAGAGTACAATTAAATGCTTAGTGCATAAGTATGTATACTCAGCTTTACATCAGTTCAAAAACAGCAACTGAGGAGGAAATGTCTGGTAGTTGGGCACTTTGCATATATCTTACTGAAGTCAACAATAAGTTGATGAATGCAGACCTGGATATCTGAAGACTTCCTGGACCATGTTTACTCATTCTGTAACCTGCCAGGTGCCCGTACAGCATTGCTTTACATTTTTTTTCCAGTCCTGCAGGTCTCACACCTTGTCCCCACTCCCCATTCCCCTCTGCAGGCATGTGTGGGATTCCCTGGATTTCAGTTAAAGACATTTGAACAGGCTGGGTTGGGGACAGGAATTTCACTGAAGTATAAGAAGTGTATTCTGCTAATGTGCATTGAAGTGTAAAAGTCAAGGAAGGCAGTATGGAACCAGTCAGGTCATAAAGAAAAGATCTCCATGGGGCTGTCCTTTAGATAATTTTAACCTTAAGAAGTATTTGCAGCATTTGGGGTGAATAGTTGAGGGTAGTGCTCTAAAATTTGATACATCTTTGAACTATCACATCGTTTAGAGAAATATGAAGATATGAAAAATAAGAGATTTTTTTAACCTACTTCTGTCTTTATTTTTTTTCCTGCCTTTCACTCAGTTAATTAGAATCACTGACCTGTGGTGCAAGCATGCAGCAAGAAAAGTTAGAGTGAAGTACTCAATTTTCTGATCTGACTGTCTTTTCTGGGTCCATGTTGTTTTGAAATCAAGTAATCAACAGTTGCTGGTAGATAAGTAGCCTCCAAGTATTTTAATGCAGTTCTTTTTTTAAAGTAGGCAGTCTGTAGTGTGGGTAGGCTCAGATTGTATTTAACCATGCCCCTGTAAACCACATACCATATGCAGTGCTTTGTAGCCACATCCAGTTTTTGCCATGGCACAAAAAGAGCACAGCACAGTTGGCCCTCCTTTTCATTTTCTGTGATGGGTCCCAGGTACCCAGTTCTGAGGATCATCATAATGATGAACAGCACATGGCAATTGCAGCTTATGCTTTTTTTTATATTTATTAAGCGTTATGTAGAATGGATTTAGTAGGATCACTACACCATTTAGTAAATTACAGCCATGGTTTGTGTAGGCATCATTATGGCTACCTGATAATAGACTAGACATGAGCAATTAAAAAAGTATACATTTCATCCTATAATGTGAAAAGTTTGTGCCTTCTAGTACCAGATTATTATGTAGTTTGGGGTATAAGTAGTATTTTATATTGATAGCATATAAAAATGCTACAATTTTTTACTCCTGTCCCTTTTTTCTTATCTTACGCAAAGATTATCTCTGCACATCTATGAAGTGCTTTTTTCAAAAAAAGCCTTGAAGACAATCTTTTTAACAGTTTTAAAACAACTTTGTTTTCTGAATTCTTATTCCAAGCATGTAGCTTATTTTATTATTATGTCTGAGATACTATTAGATTGACTGCACAATCCCCTCTATTAAAAATAAATTAACTCCCTGCACTTTAGGATAACATTAATATATTTGTAATATGAGGAACCTGCTGGTTAAGTATTTGCTCTTCTGCCAGATTTCACTTTCGGAGTCATTATAGTCACATTTGGGCCCGGCTTACATGATAATATGCAAACAAAAGCACCAAGCGGGTATACGCTCTTAGGGGTGATACCTGTTTACTTTCTTCCTATTAGTAATTAGTTGGTTTATAGACTATTGATGGCATCCACTTGCCTGGGGTGGAAACGACTGAGGTTCAGAACATATAGCAAATATATGAAATAATGGTATAGCGCTTGGTGTTTGAACATTAGCAACAAAGATAAATATAGGATGCACACTAATTAAACTGCAGTAATGGCTCTCATTTGGAGGGAGTCCTTTATATTGGCTCCAGCACAGTTTTTCTGTCATAGTAGATTGCCTAGTTAGCTTGTGTAGATTTACCAGAACATTGCTAAATATTGATAAATTGCACCAGAGTTAAGAAAAGGCATTTAATTTAGTTGCCTTGTGATTGCTTTGCAGATGCATAAAAACTCTCATTTCAATTAACAAAGTAGGCTGTGTGTTAATCAGACAGCAAGTAAGCATTAAAAGGCATGCCTTGTTAAGAGTGATTTATGCTCTTTTTTAGAAGCTTTCAAAAAAATTATTGACTTTTTATGCATTATAATTTTCGTAAGATAACATCAGCTCACATGGAAACTCAATCTACAGTATAGTGAAAAGGTATGCATTTATGAGTTCTCATTCCCTTACAAATATTATCTGTCTGATTGATAGTACATCAACTTTCTGCCCTAACAATTCAGAGCAGACACATGATGCACCTGGATGATGTGCAGGTGTGTCATTTTTGAGTAACAAAATTTAGGTATAAGATTACCAAATTTTCTGAAGGGTTCCTTATATATATATATATATATATATATATATATATATATATATATACACATATATTTTTTTTCTTTCTTTCTCTCTTTCTTACTTTCATCTAAAATTGGCCACCATGAGAAAAATAGGAAGGAATAGAAAATTAGATATGCAAAGAATGATAAGGCTGAAATTATATATAAGTATCACTTTGTAGGTTGCCTTTATGATACATTTCTAAAGGTGCCTTTGTTGTTTTTCGGACAGTAAGGGTTACGTTCCTCTTTAACTATATGATGTCCTAGAATTCCAGGACTTTCAGTAGTTATGCTAGGATGATGCAGGCAGCTTCCACAGGCGTATGCAATTTTAAAGCGTGACATGATAGGAATCTATTTTCACTAAATACATTTCAGTATCATTTTGCTAAAATTCATTAAGTTATATCTTTTCCCAAAAATTTGCATTTGATAAATCGTGGCGTTAATACCATGTGCCATAAAAATAGTAACAACAA